GGACCAATGGTACAGAATAGAGGACACAGAAACCAATCCACAAAACTACAACTATCTTATATTTGATAAAGGGGCTAAAAGCATGCAATGGAGGAAGGATAGCATCTTCAACAAATGGTGCTGGGAAAACTGGAAATCCATATGCAACAAAATGAAACTGAATCCCTTTCTCTCGCCATGCACAAAAGTTAATTCAAAATGGATCAAGGAGCTTGATATCAAATCAGAGACACGCCGTCTGATAGAAAAAAAAGTTGGCTACGATCTACATTCGGTGGGGTCGGGCTCCAAATTCCTCAATAGGACACCCATAGCACAAAAGTTAATAACTAGAATCAACAAATGGGACTTACTCAAACTAAAAAGTTTTTTCTCAGCAAAAGAAACAATAAGAGAGGTAAATAGGGAGCCTACACCCTGGGAACAAATCTTTACTCCTCACACTTCAGATAGAGCCCTAATATCCAGAGTATACAAAGAACTCAAAAAATTAGACAATAAGAGAACAAACAACCCAATCAACAAATGGGCCAAGGACCTGAACAGACACTTCTCAGAGGAGGACATACAGTCAATCAACAAGTACATGAAAAAATGCTCACCATCTCTAGCAGTCAGAGAAATGCAAATCAAAACCACCCTAAGATACCATCTCACTCCAGTTAGATTGGCAGCCATTATGAAGTCAAACAACAACAAGTGCTGGCGAGGATGTGGGGAAAAGGGTACACTTGTACATTGCTGGTGGGACTGCAAATTGGTGCAGCCAATTTGGAAAGCAGTATGGAGATTTCTTGGAAAGCTGGGAATGGAGCCACCATTTGACCCAGCTATTCCCCTTCTTGGTCTATTCCCTAAAGACCTAAAAAGAGCATGATACAGGGACACTGCTACATCGATGTTCATAGCAGCACAATTCACAATAGCAAGACTGTGGAACCAACCTAGATGCCCTTCAATAGATGAATGGATAAAAAAAATGTGGCATTTATACACAATGGAGTATTACTCTGCATTAAAAAATGACAAAATCATAGAATTTACAGGGAAATGGATGGCATTAGAGCAGATTATGCTAAGTGAAGCTAGCCAATCCCTAAAAAACAAATGCCAAATGTCTTCTTTGATATAAGGAGAGTAACTAAGAACAGAGTAGGGTTGAAGAGCATGAGAAGAAGATTAACATTAAACAGGGATGAGAGGTGGGAGGGAAAGGGAGAGAGAAGGGAAATTGCATGGAAATGGAAGGAGACCCTCAGAGTTATACAAAAGTACATACAAGAGGAAGTGAGGGGAAAGGGAAAAATAATACAAGGGGGACAAATGAATGTCAGTAGAGGGGGCAGAGAGAGAAGAGGGGAGGGGAGGGGAGGGGAGGGGGGATAGTAGAGGATAGGAAAGGCAGCAGAACACAACAGACACTAGTATGGCAATATGTAAATCAATGGATGTGTAACTGATGTAATTCTGCAATCTGTATATGGGGTAAAAATGGGAGCTCATAACCCACTTGAATCAAAGTGTGAAATATGATATATCAAGAACTATGTAATGTTTTGAACAGCCAACAATAAAAAATTTAAAAAAAGAACACATATATACGTACATACATACATAAGTGTGTGTGTTTGTATGTGTGTGTATAAGTAAAACGTAACAAGTATAGAATCGTTGCCTCTTTCTGGTAAATTGAACTTTGTATCATTATATACTGACCATTTCTGGACCTAATAATTATGCTTTTGTCTTCAAAATTATTTAGTCTGACATTTCTGTGCTTGACTCAGCTTTCCTTAAGCAGTTAATATATTTTTAAACATTCTTAAATTTTTAGCTTTTAGGGTCCTTCATTTAGGTTACCTCTTGTCAATAGCATATGAATGGATTCTGATTTTAATTCAGTATGGAAACATGATTCCTCAGGCCTAAGTTGGGAAGTTTTTTGCCTCTGGAAAGGTTTTGCTTTTGCTTCTTCTGGTGGTATCTAGGTTTAGTTCCCTTCAGGGTCTTGGCAATTGTAGAATAGAAGACTCAACTTCCTCACCTGGTTGATGATTCAGGGTTCCATGTCCCAACGGAATTGTGTATTTAGTATCTGCTCTGAGGTCCATTCTGCCTTTTCTTAACTCTCCATCCATAAGCATACATTATTCAGAGGCTGAAAGTTGTTGTAGATATCTTTGACTCCTGTGAGATAAGGGACTCTTTGAGAAATTTTCCTTATGCTGCATATAATTGTTCTGTAAGGGCAGGGTCCCTTAGAACACTTGGTTAGCCATAATACAAGATATGGCAGTCTCCTTGTTTTCTTTATTTCCATATTACTTATAATATGTGATGTACTATGTATATACTTATTTATTCTCTTTCCATTAGAATATAAACTCCAAAAGGGCAAGAATTTTTCCTGTTTTTTTTTTCTGTCACATTTCTCACATCAAAACCATTGTCTATTGCTTAGTATGCATATAATCAATATTTGTTGAATAAATGAGGATGGAGAGAATGGTGTAAAAAAACAATGATGACAAGTCTTGAACTTTTACCTTGAAATGTTTTTGTGTTCCTCTGTGACCATTGCCGCAGATTAAGTTGTACTTTTCCCTAGACTATTGTAGCTCATTTCCAACCTCTACTTTGTGCTTCATTGGTCATTGATTCATCTGTCCTTCCAATCTATCCTTCATATTGTTTCCAGACTTTCTTTCTTAAATAGATGTTATCTCATTGTCTTGTTTTGCTTTGCCTATAGAATAGATTCTAGTTTTTTTAATGTGGTATTTTATTCCCAGCATAGTTTTCTAGTCTTATTTCTGTACAAAGCATTCTATGCTCTACTCACATAAAAATACTCATACAGGCTCTTAATATGGTATATCTGTGTTTTTATGTGACTGTGTTCTTACCTGTAGGGTTCCATTTGCCGAAACAGTCATTCTTTTGTTTCTTCTTAATAAATCTGTGTCCTGTTTACTTGTAGTCATCCAAAGTCATCTTCCTAAAGACTATCTGATATTCACTGAAAAGAATCATTCTTTTGGTACTTTTCTATTTTGTCACTTTTTATAATATGCACTCTATTCTAAAAAATCTGTCTGTCCCAACTTGCCTTACTAGGCTTATGCTTCTTGACAAAGTCAAGGTCTTTAAATTTTTTTCCCTAAATGTCTGCAGTACAGTAATAATGTATCTTTGATAAGTAGTTACCAAACTTGATTCTTTTTCCAAACTTGAATTTGGAAATTTATTCATTCATCAGTTTTTATCTGATGTTATTTTTCTTATTTTTCTATGGTGAATTAATCCTGTCTCACATTTTTAATTATTACACTGTAGTGGCAATAACTTTCAAATCCAAATTTTCTTATTTTCACTCCCCTGGCTAGTATGACTTAGGCATCTCATGTTACTCAAACTTAATGTCAACTACTCTTTGTTGTTCCCCATCCCAAACCAGTATCTCTCATAACTTTTCTATTTCCATAAAAGGCACTATCATTCTTTTGAGCACATAGATTCAGAAAACTTTGGTGAAATCTTTATCACTCTTTCTTAATCTTTGATTTCAAGTAGTCACAAAGTTCTCCTCTAAACACTTCTCAGCTCCATTTCTTCCTCTCTGGTCCCTTATCACTTCATGCCCAGTTCTCTTATTCTACCTTTCCTATAATCTCACTACCTGTAGTATAAAGCTCAGATTACTTCACCTGGTATTTAAGACTATCCATAGTCCAGTTTCATCCAACTTCCCCCAACATGAGCCTTCTCCTGCTAAGTCAGACTTCTTATTGTATCCTCAGTATACCCATTCACAGTTTTTTCACCTTCTGTGATGCTCTGGTGCTCTCACTCTTCCTCTATTCTGCCATGCTGATTGCTGTTCATTTTTCAGGATCTACAAATGGATATAGTTCTCACCCTTACCCCCGGTGAACATTTCCCTCAATAATGAAATCTCTAGTTAATCACTTCTGACTTTGAACTTCTAAAAAGTAGTAATTATTGTTTTCATTGAAATGCTTTAAAAAATTAGCAGATTGAGAGGGATCATAAAGGTAGCCCAGTTAAATCTCTAATGGAAGAAAGGCCTCAGGCCAAGCTTCTAATATTATACAAAACTTCCAATTTTTTTTTTTCTACATAGTGAGCATCTGGAGATTAGGATCTTGGTTTTATGATGTTTTAGTTTTTCCTCTTAATGCTTAGGTATGGTTCTTTGCCCCTAGAAGACATTAAAACATATTCATCGATTAAATAAATGAATTCAGTAAATTTAAACACAAATTTTCTCGACAAAGACTCGCTTGCCTCTTCCCACCCCAAATCTCTCTGCACAGTTTCTTTTTCCAAATGTCTGAAGATAAAGATAGCTTAAAAGATGGTAGATACATTTACCGCCTACTCATTTTCTTTATATAGCTCTGTATTAACCTTGGTTTTTACTTTTCTACATTTTGAAATTATATTTGGAGTTTCTTACTTTTGCATGTACATATGAATTTTAATGGAGTCTGTTAAATGTTGGTCATGTTTTCCTATGGCAGGTTAGGAATATTTAGCAAAGAATGTTCCATTTGATTTATTTAAGTGAAGGCAATTTTATTGTGGTTTGAAATTTTTATATAAAAAATTTTCATCCATGCAAACTCTTTGTTCTGGGCAATAATCAGTTTATATAACTTATGCAGGTTTTAAAATTGTTATTACTATTTTTTTGTGTGAGATGATTATAAACAATAACTTTAATTGTTTTGTAATTATTTGAATGGCATAATTTTGAAAATAAGTTATGTTTCCATGGCAAGGATGTTTATGTAAAGTTAGTGCTAACTTCAAGTGTGTTGAGTGCTTTAACTATGTAGAAGGTGCTTGCTATTTGATTTTAAGTTTAGTTTTGATGAAAATGCACAAATGCTATTTTCATATTATAAGAAGTTTTTCCATTTTAGAGCATGTCAAAGGAATAAACAGTAATTTGAATGCTCTATTTTTATTTCTAGAAACCAGCAAATATCCTAGTAATGGGAGAAGGTCCCGAGAGAGGGAGAGTCAAAATAGGTAGGTAATTACTCCTTAAATAATTTATTAAGAAGCTGAAATTCCTTCAAAGACGGTTTCCCTATTTAATACTCTTATTTAAGAAGTTAATTTTAAAATAACTTCTGCACATTATTTTTAGAAAAGATGTTGAAAAATGTAGGTGTATAGTCTATAAAACCTCAACCCCTCCCCCGCAATAAGATCCTGTAATTCTAAGTTGAAAAATCACTGGGAATTGACAAGGAAGCCCACGAAGACATTCACTCCCATACAATGTCCCAAGCATGTGTTTATGTTACTTACTACCACTGTCCTGCAGAGTTACCCTAAACATAATCCCATAAATCTCGTTTTTTTTCCTTAACCTTACCAAATGTCCTTTCCCTGAATATATCCCCCTTGACTTAGAGACCCTCACATGTTTTCCTCACTCCCCCACTCTTGGCCTGCATATCCTGTGCCAGGGACTGACATTTTTTCCCAATAAATATATGTTTATAGCCTTTCATACTTACTTGAAGGGTCTAAAAGAAATTAACATTATTTATACCTAAAAAATGAGCTAAGAAATGCTTTGTCTAATTTATTTTCATAGAAATTATGTTTATTGGATGTTCAATTTTTAAAAAAATTTTTTAGTTATAGATGGATAAATACCTTCTTTCTTTCTTGATTTTTATGTGTTGCTAAGGATCGAATCCAGTGCCTCATATGTGCTAGACAAGCACTCTACCACTGAGCTCAAGTCCAGCCCATGTCCAGTGCTTTTTAAAAGGACTTTAAATTTGTTTTATCAGCCTACTTTCTTTGCTATTAGAATATACTCTGCTAGAGAAGGTGCTAAGTTGACCTAAAACAAACTCATGCTTTCCTGCTTCACCTGAGTCTGTCCTGCTGCTTAGTTTTCGACTTCTTCCATTACTTTCCTAACCTATTTCTGAAGAAGCTCTAAACCAACTTCGCTTTCATTAAAATTCTACTCTGAGTTTGCATTCAGCTTTATTCAAAAAAGTATTAATGTTAATTAATTACCTGGGGCTGCTATACCTCTTATCTTTCCCCCTCCCTTTTCTACTCCTCCTCACTTATTTGTGTTTTATACTCACACTCTTTTTCTTATAGGCATTTTTAAAGTACCTACATTTTACAAGGTACAGGTGAAAGAGTAAAAGGGATTGTCCCTCCCTGTGAGAGACAGTAAAATAAACTGTACTGTACAGTGTGGTAGGTGCCTTCAATGTTATTTCATTTATAATGTAGATAAGGAAAGCTGGATTTAGACAGTTAGTAGCTTATTTAGTCTTTCAAAGATAGGACTTGGGTTCCTAGTCCTGAGACTACATGGCTAACAACAAACAAACATCTGTTAATGTCGGAGTTGGTTGTGTGACCTCGCTCACTTCCACTTTTTGTCAACACAACTCTGCCTATGAAACAGCCTCAGATAGAGTTACTCTTCCCTTCCAAAGTCGAACTTACTAGTTCCTTTCCTATCTTCTAAATATCACCCTGCCCTGCCTAAGATTCTTATATGATAGTATTATCATTTTCCCCTTCTCAAGTTTCTTCTTTCCTTCAAACGTTCATAGTCCTTTTCCTGATTTTAAAATAAGTCTTGTATCCATGTTGTTTTCTTTAACATTTGTTCTATTTTTATTCCACTCTTATTTCTATACTTCTGGAACATCCTTGATGTTCACTTTTGGATTCCACTTACCCTAATTTGTTATAGTCTGGCATCTAATTTATCTCTTGATCAAAACTGCTTTATAAAAGGACATCTGTGACCCCTAGCTTACCAAACCCAGTGTCCTGCCTTACTCCTGTTCTTCTTTACTACAATAAACCATTTGTTCCTCTGGCCTGTCTGGTCTTGAGACTGTCTTTTTCCTTGGTCTATATGGCATCATATAATTCTATTTTTCTGTCTGCCACTTTTTTTTACTTCTGCATTTCATTCATTAATGCCTCTTACTCCAGTTTACGTGTTATTTTAAGATACCCTAAGTATTGGTTTGGAACATGGTCTCCTTCTACAGTTACTTCTTTAGGGAATTGATAAATTTGATTTCAAAATCTTGATTCTATGAAAATGATTTTAAGATCTGGGTGTTAGATTCTATTCTGTCACCCTAGCTGAATTCTTTTCTTTCTATTTGGCTGTCCTCCTGGCAGTCTATACTCCATTGTTCCAAACCAACTTCATCATCATTTTCTTATACTCTCTCTTGTTTGTGTCATTTACTATATCCCAGTCACCCAAATCTAATGTCTTCTTACTACTCCTTAACATAAAATCCATCGTCTGGTTGGTAATTAATAACCTTAATGTTAAAAGTTTTAGGATTGAATTTTAGCCAAGATTAGGGATAAAATCAGGATTGAAAGTAAGAAATAATAAAGGTCTAGTTGACTAAATTACTGTCTTTTTAAAATTTATTTTGGTACTGCAGATTGAATTCAGGGGCATGTTACCACTGAGCTACTTTCTCAGTCCTTTTTATTTTTTGAGACAAAGTCTTGCTAAGGTGTTGAAGGTCTCAATAAGTTCAAGGATGACCTTGAACTTGGGATCCTCGTGCCTTGGCCTGTGAATCACTGGGATTAGAGGACTGTGCCACTGCATCTGGCATAAATTTTGTTTTGATGTCATGTTGATGTTGTTAGTGCTGGGAAGCCAACCCAGGGCCTCCCACATCCCAGGGAAATACTCTACCAATAAACTACATCCCCAGTCTGCACATTAGTTTTAAAAAATCACTAGTGGCTTCTGGGTGTTATGGTGTATACCTGTCATCCCAGGAAGTTCACAAATTCCAGGCCAGCCTGAGCAACTTAGGGAGACCTTCTCTGAAAATAAAATGAGAAGGGATTGGTATGGTAAAGTACTTGCCTAGCATGTGCAAGGTCCTGGATTTCAGTTCCTAGCACTGCAGGAAAAGAAAAAAAAAATAATGCTATTGCCTGTGATTAATGTTTTAATACAGTTCTGTTTGGGGCTCATAAAAGAAAAATATGCCTGGTTGAAAGGAAAATATTTTATGCCCTTTCCTATATCTGAATCTTCTCTTCCCCAGCAACCCAAAGACTTCCAGGCCAAAATGTGTATTACCTTCCTTTTTGCTATTTAAAAAGATTTTTCCTTCAGGATCCAGCTCAAGATACAGTTTAAATTTAGTCCACTTTCACCAGTGTTTATTAAGCACTGTTCCACATGACACCTTGGAAGAGACCCTCCCCACAAGGGATTTAGCACCTAGTAGAAAGCAGTAACAATTTCCTTTATTCTCACAGTTCTTAGAACCCTTTGCTAATTTTATTTACTCCATATATTTTGTTATGTAAACTCTTTGGATGGTATATCTGATTTTTATTTTATTTTATTTTTTTGCTAATTTTCTTTCATTTGACACTGCTTAAGTAATACCCACACCAGAATTCTGCTACTCCTGTTTGTTTAATTGAAGAATTCAATTAAACCAGCTGTTGTTGTAATGGTTACTTAGTTAGTTATCTTTTGTTTAAATTAGTAATTATTTGAAAAATGGTTTGAAGCTCCTTTGAAGTTAATATAATAGGCAGGAATTATTAAGACTATTGTATCATTCTGGCCTTGACTTAATCTGACAGTGATTAGATGAAACTTAGACAAAACTAAGGAGGTAGAAAATAAGAGGAGAAATGATGACTTTAGCCTTTACTTTAAAATGCTTTTCAAAGGATAAAACAGCATTCCATCATACTTTGTCATCAACAGTAATCGGCATCTGATTGTTTAATCTGATTTATCATATATAATCATTTTCATCTGTGTGATGACATACTTACCATCAACAATAACACCTATTAAATATATAAAACAGTGCTTTGAATATTGTGTAATATTGTAGAATAATAGGTGTAATATTAGTAAAATGCTTGAATATTTTTATTTGCTGTAGGAAAATTTAGTTCAACAACTGCAGGCACCAGCACAGGCTTCCTTGGATAGCTTTGTTTTTAAAGACCTGGATACTCCAAAAGCATTCTCTGAAAGTTCTTGTAAATTTTATTCAAACTCTAAGGAAATAAAATCACAGTAAATCAAGATTTCAGTGTAAATTATCATACATTAATTTCAGATTAAATGATACTCTATAGTTGAAACTTTTATGTATGTTTGTACATTTTATATTGAGGCCCCTTATGTACTCAAAATATATTGATTATTATATATTTCAAGTCATAGAGGTTTATCATTCTTGGGACTTTGTCTCTGTGGTTTGCATTTATCATATGTATAATTTATGGATGTCAGATTAGTGTATGAGAATGTAGATAATAGCTGAGCAGAGTGTCACACACCTGTAATTCCAGCTATCTAGGAAGCTAAGGTAGGAGGTTCAAAAGTTTGGGCCCAGCATGGGCAACTTAGATGCCATTTCAAAATACAAAAAGGGCTAGGAATGTAGCTCAGTGGTAGAGAGCTTGCCTAGCATATGCAAGCCCCTGGATTCGATTCCCAGCACTGCAAAAAGAAGAGAAAAAATAAGTAGCTCCTAAATTACAACATGGGTTTTTCAGTAGTGAAGATCTTTATTTACTATCTCTGTGAACCTGGGAAAGTCATTTAACTTGCTTTGGGCCTTAGATTATTCATCTCAGAAGTGGGGAGCAAAATACTTACTATACCAGTGTCTCATTATGATTAAATGAAGCCAGGTGTGGTGGCCCATGCCTGTAATCCCAGTGGCTTGGAAAGCTGAGGCAGGAGGATCGTGAGTTCAAAGCCAGCCTCAGCAATGGCAAGGCGTTACGCAACTCAGTGAGACCCTGTCTCTAAATAAAATACAAAATAGGGCTGGGGATGTGGCTCAGTGGTTGAGTGCACCTGAGTTCAATCTATGGTCCACCCCCCACCAAAAAAAAAAAAAAAAAAAGGATTAAATGAGGTGGTATATGATGCACATAAAAGCCAGTTGTAAACTGTAAAGTGTTTTTAGACACAGGTATTTGTTATTTATGAAATCTTAAGAAAATTGATCTCTGGAACCTTATCATGGTTATAAATATTCTTTTACTAATAACATATTTTACTAATAACTCAGTTTTATATACCCCTAATATTTAGATCAGTTAGCTTTGGTAGGCCTTTGTTAAATGTGAATTATAACAAATTATATCTTATATGTTCTATGCATACTCTTGGAAACACATGTGATATTTTGGTTACCCTTCAATTAGTGACTATTTCCCATCTCAGTTTGTGACACTTGCTACTTTCCATAATGTAAATATCCTGTCATAGCCAAATCCAAGTTACCAATATTCTGTCACCTAATGTAGAGTTAGGAAGTGATATGTATAAATCAGCTCATGTGAGCATGTAGGAGCTTCTGCAGAACATACTAAGCTAAGTAAGAATCAGTTCTTTGATATATAGGTATATAGAAGTCATGACTGATCATGGAGACTCTCAGACTATTCTATATATTAAATAGAAACATTTAAGATTATTATTATAATTGTTTCTGAGAGCCAGAAATTTGAAGTCAGACCTGAATTTTAATTCTGACTAAACTTAGCTCAGTGATGCTTGGGGCAAGTCTTTAGGCCTCAGTTTCTTCAGCAGTAAAATGGACACCATGGTAATATCTACATCCAGGGGGGATACTAAAGATAAATGAAGTGATTCCCATTTAGTGCTTGGCATAGACCTGTGATTTTTTTCCAGAGGAAAAGCATTGCTTCATAAGGTTAGTGACCATTTTATCAACCTTGCATGGTTCTAATAGCATGTCAAACTGAGTTTTATATTAATTTATTTTATTTTTTAGCTGACATGGGTTTTGCCAGATTATTCAATTCTCCTCTAAAGCCACTAGCAGATTTGGATCCAGTAGTTGTGACATTTTGGTATCGGGCTCCAGAACTTTTGCTTGGTGCGAGGCATTATACAAAGGCCATTGGTAAGTTGGTCTAACATGATTTGCTATCTTGGCATCGAGCTTTCATAAATACCAAATGGTATAATAATGAAAGTACGTGGTAAAAACTACCTTATATCTTTCTGTTAAAATCCTGATATCTTCTATGTTCCTGGATTTTACATTCAAGTAGATTTGGATTTTAGAACTGAATAGGAGAATATGGTCATTTTTAAAGAAGAAAGCATTTTCTTTTAGAGAATAGAGGTATCTGATCCTATTAGGTTGCTATGAAAATAAGAACATGCAAATTTTATTTTATTCTCACCTAACTATTGACCAGAAGAACTAGAGAGAAGTTTAGGATCGTTTTTCTCACAGAAAGAAAAATATAAAAGCAGGAGTAATACAGTGTTGGCAAGAACTCTTACTTGGGGGAAAGTTAGTCACCATATTTTCTAGCAAGAACTATATGTCTTATCTTTCTCTTTTATCATTCGTTATCAGAATGCAGTTTCTCCTTCAAGGTAGGAAATATAATCTAGTTAGTTGAGCAAGATTAACTGTGCTCAGCAGCTTGCTATCTCGCTACAGGGTGGTTGGGGCACTGAGTAAGAAACCCTGTCATAAACACACTCACTGGGACTTAAGTCTGCTTTATAACAGAGGCTTCAGAGATTTTGCTACCTGGTCACTACAGTGTCCTCAGAATATCCCCTCTGTTGGTTGAGAGTCAGCTGGAGAGAGCCATCCTCAAATCTGGAGATAATAAAAGAAGCATAGTGAGTGAATAAATAATAGCTGGTAGAAGGTCTATTTCTATAAATTGCCTACATTTCCCAAGTGTATTCCTTTAAATTTTCTTTCTTAATTTGGATTATCTGCTTATTGGTGTTAGGCTCATATCAGTTTGGACTACCTTTAATTATTTTTGTTGAGTCATATTTAACAAGGATACTAAAATTATAATGTTAAAAATTGACAAGAAGCACAATCCTTGCTTATGAAAACCTGGTGGCACCCAAAGAACTGCAAAGGAAGTTCTCACATTTGGACAAATTAGACTGATACCTAGCCTGCTCATGGGTAAAAAAGCAAACACAAATTAATGTCCTCGTTCATCAGGAGGTCTGATTTCTGTAAAAGTCAAACACCTAGAATATGTTTATATGTTCCTCAGATACTGATACTCTAGCATAGAACTGTAATATTGTAAATATCTCATAAATACTGTCAAATGCTTCTGTTAAATTAATGGTAAAGCCTCTGAGTAGCCTCAGAGCTGTGAGGAAACCAGTATTTGTTTGGCAGTAGAGGAATGTGAGATGATATAAGGCCCTTATTCTCACAATTGGCCATATGATCCATGGAGGAAAGTGGCAGCTGTCTGTAGAGGGTAAAGAAAGAACTACAGACAAAAATGGAAGGGATGGAGTGGCCCAACAAATGTCAACAAATGACTTTTAATGTAGCACTGTATTTTTGAGACTTTTTTTAGAATGATGTTTACTTTTTGTTATTTAGGTCTCTTCTTATCAACTATTGGAAGCAGTTAGATCCCTTAGGCAATCTCAGAAGCTACCAGAGGATAGGAAGAGAGTGAGTAAAAATAAGCCAAAGAGAATGTTAGAATGTTGGAAGAAACAGGTGGTGCCTTGGAACAATCAGGCTGATGTTGGATAACCTAGAGGATGTAGTACCCATAGACGTCCATATGCCTGTAGCCCTCACCTACTACCAGTACAGTCTATATCTAAAAGAGAGTGTTTTCTCTAAGAAAAGGCATATTCAGCCAATACCTTTTGTTAAGCTAAGTGATGCTCCACTAAAGTCAGTTTCATTCTCAACTCATGGTAAGACCCATTTTTAACATGTACTTTTCACACAGTTCACACAGTATGTGTGACCCACATACTTTGAGAGTCCATACTTTGAAAAATACAGTTTTATAATTATTTTCTGATTAAATTTTCTTCTGTTAAAATAAAAATAGTTTTTGGAGATAAAGGGAATTGGGTATAATTGAAAACCAAGTATATTTCTTATTTCCTCAGTAAGGAGAACTAAAATTGAATTTTAAGCTTGCAACTTACTTGCTCACTAAATGAGATTTACCATTTAAAGATAAAAACATAATTACTAGTTTCTAATTTTAGTAAAGTCCTAATTATTCATTCTCAATAGGAGTTAGGATGTTAAGACAGAGAAAAGAATAATTCCCTGAATCAGTTATCTTTGGCCTTGAAAGATATTCATAGCATATGTATATAAGCACATACATAATCACTCATTCTCATTCTTCTCCATACCAGTCCATGTCAGAAATGAGTATGTATATTCAGAGCATAGGAAAAAGATTTTGATGATTTGATAACAGTGGAGTTTTATGGAATGACATTTAGTGGGGAGGGGAGTGGCAGTGTATTGGGGACAAGCATCAGGAGAACAACCATTGATTGAGGAAAGAGATCTGAGGGGGAGGCAGAGATGATTGATGTAGGAGCCAGATAACTACTTAAAATTATAGGCTAATATGAGGCAGAAATTGTAGTAAAATTTAGCACTACTTGATATTCCTTATTTTAGCAGTTTGTGGGGAAGTATAGATACAGGGTTCTGTTTTGAATAAAAGACAAACCGTGGTCATGATAGACACATGAACAACAACAATATAGTAGTCATCCCAGTTGACTGTATGATAAAGGCATCCAGGAGGAAGAGAGATGGGACCATCAGGGACAAGAATGATAGCCAACATGATGTGGGAGAGAGAAAAGAATTAAAAAGTAGACACTCAACAGTATTATTACTCTACCGTGTGTGATGAATGTTTATGATGTTGATGACCTTGGCTGCATCATTAAGGAGGATTAAATTATATTTTATATCCCTTATGATGGCACGTAATGGTATAATAAAAAATGGTTATTGAAGGGATATGTTCCCATTATCCAGAAGGCTAACTTAGCTGGAAGGAAACCATTCCTGAATGGGATCAGATAAAAGAGGCATTACTATATGTTTTTTTTGCACTTGGCATTTTCTCTTTTTACAAAATATCATACTGACAATTATTTTAGCTAATGAATATTATTTAACTCTAGTTTATCTACAGAATGTGATTCTCACATTTGATAGGCTACTAAACACTGTACTTTTTTTACTATACCATATTCCTAGCATTATTATCTGTTTTAAAAATACATAACTAAATGGCATTTATTTAAAGGGACAAATGTGGATACACATCTCACAAAAATTAATTCACTTACACATTTGGCAAAGCATTTTAAATATTTTAGTCCCAGAATATAAATTCTAATCATTCAATATATAAAGCCCAATTGAATAATCTATAATTGGTGACTTTAGTTAATAAAACTTAAAAAAAAAAAATTTTTATGGTGCCGAGGACCAAATCCAGGTCCTTGATCATGCTGCACAAACTCCCTACTTCTAAGCTACATTCCTAGCCCCTTATAAAACCTTTAAAGCTTCCTAACTCTGTCCTAAGGATGGGGGTGGGATAGCATCAGAGCAGACCTATTAAGATAAGCTGTATCTCTAGTTGTATCCTACAATACATACACACACACACACACACACATATATTGCTGGTTTTGTGGTGTTTTGTTTTTTCAGTACCACTGTTTTTTCAGTGGTAGAGTACCCCTGGATTGAACCCAGGGGTACTCTACCACTGAGTTACATCCCCAGCCCTTTTTATTTTTTATTTTGAGACAGGTTCTCACTAAATTGCTGAGGCCACTTAAAATCCTCCTGCTTCTGCCTCCCAAATTGCTGAGATCGCAGGCATGTACCACCATGTCCTAGTCATGCTTGTATTATTTATCAGCTCATAAACCTTGTAATTTGTTGGGAAAAGAACTGAGGCTAGTAATCTTTCAGATAAAAGTTGGGTTTTTCCAAATCCTTTTGCTGTCTGTCTAGACATATTCATTACACATTTATAGCATTAAAAGAATTACATCACCATATTGAATGATTGTGTTTGACTCTGTCAGATCTGAGTATTGTGCCTGGTATTAGGTTATCAATGAATGCTTCAATAATTAAATTATTAATAGTGGCTAGGAAGATTTTTGTGTAAATCTTAAAATTTATTGCTTGCCAAATTTAATTTCTTTCTAAGTTTATTTTTTAGGAAACTTATAAGTAAATGTTCTTTATTTAGCTTCCAATCTGTTACATGATACAGCTATTTCGTGTCACATATATACTGTATATATTCTCTTCTACACTTGCTGTTCTTTGTACATTGCTTTATTGAAAAGTATTCTTATGTGTGTGTTAGAATTAAATCCAGGAATTGTAACTAAGGAAATGTAATACATTTGTATAAAAACTTGATTTTTTTTCTTCATAGATATATGGGCAATAGGTTGCATATTTGCTGAATTGTTGACTTCAGAACCTATTTTTCACTGTCGTCAGGAAGATATTAAAACAAGCAATCCCTTTCATCATGATCAACTTGATCGGATATTTAGTGTCATGGGATTTCCTGCAGGTAATTTGTTTTCTTTTTCAAATAGTATTTTGAGCTGGGTGCAGTGGCCCATGTCTGTAATCCCACCGGCTCCAGAGGCTAAAGCAGGAGGATTGTGAGTTCAAAGCCAGCCTCAACAACAGTGAGGCACTAAGCAACTCAGTGAGACCCTGTCTCTAAATAAAAAACAAAAAAGGCTGGTGATGTGCCTCAGTGGTCGAATAGTGCCCAAGTACCCCCGCAAAAAGTATTTTGAGTCATATTTCAAAAGATAAAGTGTGTTTTATGTATATTTTAAAACTAAACCAATTATATTTTGAGTAAAATTAACATTATTTTTCATAACAATATTCAATTTTTTTTGTAAGATAAAGACTGGGAAGATATTAGAAAGATGCCAGAATACCCTACACTTCAAAAAGACTTTAGAAGAACAACGTAAGTAATTCATATTGTTGTAGTCCATCTGTGCTGCTAGAAAAAAAAATATTTAGCTTAGGTAATTCATAAACAATAGAAATTTATTTTCTTATAGTTGGGTGGCTGGGAAGTCTGAGATCAAGGTGCTGGCACATTGCATGTCTGTCAAGGACTGTTCTCAGCTTCCAGGATGGTGTCTTGTGGTTGAATCCTCAATGATGGGAGGGTAAAAGGGGATGAAGCCTCTTCTATGAGGCAATATGCCTTTCATAAAGGCAGAATCTTCCATGACCTAAGCACCTTCTGAAGGTACCACCTTTCAATATTATTGCATTGGAGATTAGGTTTCAATATGAGTTTGGGGAGGGGGCCACAAACATTCAGATCGTAACATGTTAATTATAGGTAGCAACTCCAATAGGAAAATTTAATCTTTAAAAAAACACAGATGTAGATTATTATTTAAGCCAGGCACTTTTAGTATTCTTATTCTCCCCCTCCCCCTTCCCCATCCCCCTCCCTCTCCCCCCCATCTCCCTCCCTCTCCCTCCCCCATCTCCCTCCCTCTCCCCTTCCCCTCTCCCCCTCCCTCCTCCCCTCTCCCCCCTCCTCCTCCCCTCTCCTCCTCCTCCTCTCCCCTCCTCCTCTTCCTCCTCTCCCCTCCTCCTCTTCCTCCTCTCCCCTCCTCCTCCTCCTCCCCCCTTCCTCCTTCCTCCTCCTCCTCCCCCTCCTCCCCCCCCACCCCCCCCCCCCCCCCCCCCACCCCCCGCCTTGGGAATTGAACGTAGGGCCTTGTGTGTGTCAGGTAGGTACCTATACTTGTGATTTAAGGGATGCTTTAAATGCTGCTAATATATATGTCTAGTTTCGACTATTATATTTTTAAGCTTTTAAAAATTTCAGGGTCAGTAGATAGTTTATCTATTCTGTTTTAGCATGATAAAAATCTTAGTTCAAAGCCACATGTGTAATTTAATCTTTGAGTAATAACTGGTGACTGAAATGCTGAACCAGGAAACCAGGAGGAATAGCAGAAGGAAGAACATGTTGCCCAGGACACAAGTAAAACACACTGGTGAAGACATGTATATTGAGTAGACTTGAAGGGACAGCAAAGGCATGAAAGGAGTTTGTTCTAAATATGCACACCTAGAGAAAACAGTAGAAGGGGTTCTCTTTGGGCAGCTTGCCAGGAAAATTTCAGGACAGGATGACTTGTAGGAATGAAAGCATAATAAAGGGAAGTAGAGAATGGCATTGATCATTTCCAGTCCCTCTTTCGCAGAGTCCTTGTTAGGGTCCTTTGCCTTAAGATAGCCCTAGTACTAAGATTCTGTTTAGGCTCCCTTCTTACTCTAGATATTTTCCCCAGACTCCAGAATTTCAGTGGCCACAGTTTATCATCAGTTGTGTTGGTAACTCTGAATTTATACAGCTTAAGTATCTCTTATAAGTTCTTAGGGACACAGTTTTTTTGATTTTGGATTTTTTTCAGATTTTGGAGCATTTTAAGTTTCAGGTTTTTATGTTAGGTTTGTTCAGCCTGTATATCCCACTCAGATCTCTTTTCCATATTTCAAGTCTGTTTATTAAAATGCTTTATATCTGGGCATGGTGGCACATGCCTATAATTCCACTGGCTCTGGAGGCTAAGACGGGAGAATCACAAGTTCAAAGCCAGCCTCAGCAACTGGGAGGCACTAAAAACTCAGTGAAACTCTGTCTCTAAATAAAATATAAAATAGGGCTGGGGATGTGGCTCAGTGGCTGAGTGCCCCTGAGTTCAATCCCCGGAACCAAAAAAAAAAAAAGAGAATAAAATGCTTTATGGAATCCCAACTTCAAAGTTCTGTTAAGCGTTAAGTGTCCAAAATAGAACTCATCATCTATTCTCCAAGACTGCTCCAGGCTATTTCCTGCCATAGGAACTGGCTCCATGATTGACTTAATTGTTCAAGCCTGTGAGTTCCTCCTGATCCTTCTATCTCTCACTATCTTCCATTCATACCCTGCATCCAGTTGATTAGCAAATATAATCCTAGGGATCCTTTGAATGTTTCTGTTTCTCTCCATTCACCCTGCCACTGTTATAGTTTTGGCCCCCAACATCATCTTTTCTGGACTCCTGCAGTGGCCAGCCTACTTAGTGATTTTTCTACTTCTACTCTATTCTAATTCTCTGTCTACACTATAGTCATTGTCAGAAGCAAATTTGATCATGTCACTTTTTCTAGGTGCACTTAATTTACCATTGCTTTCAGTTCCTTAATATGGTTTAGGATGCTTTTGGCATCTCTGGGTTCCTTTCTTAACCGTTCTCGGATTCTTTAGCCAAAACATCATGAATTTCTTTTAAGTATTCTGAGCTTTCTTTTTGACCTCTGAATTTTAAAATGTGCTCTTTCCTCTTTAGGACATCCTTTTCCTCTCACCCCTTTTATCACATTAACTCTTTTTTTGCAGTGGAGGGGGGATCGAACTCAAGGGTGCTCGACCACTGAGCCACATTTCTAGCCCTATTTTGTATTTTATTTAGAGACAAGGTCTCCATGAGTTGCTTAGTGCTTCATTTTTGCTGAGGCTGGCTTTGAATTTGCCATCCTCCTGCCTCAGCCTCCTGAGCTGCTGGGAATGCAGGTGTGCACCACTGTGCCGGGCAGATTAACTCTTACTTATTGTTTCGACTTATCCTTTGGATTTTGCCTCCCCTAACCTTTCAGGTCTAAATTAGGTTGGTCTCCTTGCATTCCCATTGCATGCTGTGCTGCTGCTTTTAGCATTCATCAATGTGTGCTACGGTTAGCTTTTGAATCCTGTCTTTTCATCTAGATAGTATGGATCATCTCTATTTTATATATCATTTTATGTATCCTCAGGGCCTGGCACATAGTATATGCTCATTAATTAGTTGTCAAATGAATATTGAATGAAAGTGGTTTCAGTAATTGAAGATATTTAATAATATAAAAGATGGAGAAAATTAATGAAGGCACTTAACAGTTAACTTAGCATTAAAGATAAAATGAAAAGTTCTACCTAAAACAATAGTGTTTATAATAACCAGAATTAAGAGGAGAGAAATTTTAAAGGATAAATTCAATTAGATAAATAACTGGGCCAGCACCTGGCCTGATTCTCATCAGCTATAGTATTGTTTCCTGGCCATGTACTTGTAGCTACTATGAAACAGCTTCATACCAATAGGAGATATTCAGCTACTCAAAAGAATGTGTTTGAAGAGCATTTAACAAAGCAAACTGTTTGTGAAGCAATATGAAATTTAAAAAACTCATGATAACATACTATGTACTATGTTTCCAATTCTATAAAAACAAAGAAAAAGTCCTGCTGTGCTTGAATCATGTGTGTGTGTGTGTATATATATATATATATTATATATTATATATATACACACATGTATATTTGAATCATATATGTGTATACACACATACATATATACATGTACATAGGAAAAAGAAGCCAAAGAAAAATTATCAAAACTTTGACAGTGGTTCTTTCTCACTGAATGGCTTGATATGAGTGAATTGAAGTTTTTTCTTTATATTTTTATATATTTTCTTTTACCATGACTATTTTTTACCTATTTTTAGACCTTTCTAATTCAAAATATTTCATATGTACGAAAGAAAATATATGATGAAATATATACATAGTATGTTTAGAATAATCAAATGAATTTCCCCCACTCACCTCTCAACCTAAGAAATAAAGCATTGCTAAGATTATTGAAGTACCCTGAGTATCCTCCCTTCTTTTTTATCTCTACCAGAGAAGACTGAATGCTCTGAATTTGTTTATCATTCCACATTTTTATCATAGTTTTATTCTTCCATGTATGTATCTCTAAAAATTTTTGTTCAGTTTAATATGTCTTTGAAATTTATATAACTAGTACTAGTATCTAGAATCATTTATGTATTTTTTTTCTTTCTTTTTATTTATTTATTTATTTTTGGTACCAGGGATTGAATCTGGAGCGCTTAACCACTGAGCCTCATCCCCATCTCCCCGCCTTTTTAAGATACAACATTTTTTATACCTTTATTTTATTTATTTATGTGATGCTCAGGATCGAACCCAGTGCCTTGCACATGCTAGACAAGTGGTCTATCACTGAGCCACAACCACAGCCTCCTGCTTTTTATTTTTCATTTTGAGACAGGGTCTTGCTTAGGTTCTTGCTAATTGCCAAGACTGGCTTTGAACTTGTGATCCTCCTGCCTCAGTCTCCTGAGCCTCTGGGATTACAGACGTGTGCCACCACACCTGGTTTATCTATGTATTTTCTTCAGCAACATGCTGTTTTTCCTACCCAACCATATGCATTCATATACATACATACATTTATGTATAGCATTGTATTCTGTGACATTTTAACAATTTACCTAGTTTTTTTTCAGTTGATGGACATTTGTTTTTTATAGTTATTTTTGCTGCTACAAAAATGTTGATAAGAAGCTGGGTGTGGTAGTGCACTTCTATAATCTCAACTGCTCTGGAGGCTGAGGCTGGAGGGTTGCAAGTTTGAGGCAGCCTGGGCAACTTGATGAAACCATGTCTCAATAAATAAAAAGAGCTGAGGATGTAGTTCAGTGTAGAGGATTTGGGTTTATCCCCAGTACCTCAGAGGAAAAATAAAAGCTGACTCTTATTCATGTACTTTGATATGCATATACACAAGCATCACTTAGACTCAGGTATGTACGTAGAAATGGAATTGATAGGTCATATTACATATTAATTTTTTCTAATAGTTGACATGTAACTATTTTCCAATATAAAAATCTCAAATATGATATATAACAATTTCTCTTTCTTAACACATTTGCCAATATTTGGTAATGTGTTTGTTTTTAATCAGCAAAAGCAATGCTTTAAACTTAATATACCTTCTAAGAAAACCAGTCTTAGAGCTTTTCATTAAAAAATGTAAATTGTGTGAGTGTTCTCATTGATATGTGACTGTCTGTGTGCTTGCAGGTATGCCAACAGTAGCCTCATAAAATACATGGAGAAACACAAGGTCAAGCCTGACAGCAAAGTGTTCCTCTTGGTAGGTGCTTCTCTCCCAGACTGAAATCTGATCTTAACACAGTTTTCATCTCATCTTGTTTACTGTGGAACTATCCCAGCTATTTCTTCTTTTGAAACAAAAGAAATTGGAGGATGATGCTGAGGCAAAATTAAATATTTTTCTCTGGAAATGTCACCCTTCTAGCCTTAATTTTTAAAATGATTTATCAGCATAAAAAAGAATTTTAAAGGTGCTTTAATGCTGATGATTTCTGCCAAGTTCACATAAATAGGTGTATAGTATACTGATTATGCAGTGGGCTATACAAAATACATTTTATGTAATCCTGTTACACATTTACTACGAAAGTCTGGACATTGATTTGTAAGCAAACCTTTTCATGTGCTGTCAATTTCTTTTGTTTCTCTAGCTTCAGAAACTCCTTACTATGGATCCAACCAAGAGAATTACCTCAGAGCAGGCTCTGCAGGACCCTTATTTTCAGGAGGACCCCTTGCCAACATTAGAGTATGTATCTTACTCCCTCTTCTATGTCCTTCACTCCAGGTCAAGGATATCAGATGGTGGATGAAATCAAGGAAGTACTCATTACTGAAGTATTTTACTTTCTTTATTAATACAGCCTCAGAGAAAAACTCCTGAAGAAAAATGGTCCATATTTTGAAACAGGCCAAGCTGGAGAAAGGTGTGAATGAAAACAAGTGTTTTAGTAATGACCATTAATCAGTTTTGCAAATGAAAATTAAAACTGAAAACAAATGCGACTTATAGACCAATCAGATCAGAGATGGAGAATTTAAAATTCTGTCTTCTAGAGCAAATCCCCTCTATTCCTTTATCCTAATGTCATCCAAGTATATCTTTTGTGCTTGAATTTATTAGAAGTGCATTTTTTTCTCGAGGGGACAAAATATTTTGTTGTTGTTGAAGCAAATACTAATTCAGTTATTTTTGGTGCTGATGAAGTCAGTGTGGAGAAGCTTCTTTGTCATATATATCAGCTAGCAAGCAGCAGTCAAAATTTGAAATTGAAAGTGACAGTGTAGAAATCAGTTGAGTGGTTTTTTTTTTTATTGCTCAAATTGAGTTGTTTTGGGAGACATTCAGCATATACCAGCCACAGAGAAAGAGTATGAAATAATTTACAAAAGAAAAACTAGAATTTTAAATTAATAAGATAAATTAATAATTTAGGCCTTGACATGTATTTTTTTAAATACAATTTTTTAGTGTGTTTGCTGGCTGCCAGATTCCATACCCTAAACGAGAATTCCTTAATGAAGATGAGCCTGAAGAAAAAGGTGACAAGGTATAAACTGCATGGTACACTTTGAATTTTTGAGAATAAGGGTGTCAGATAATTCAGGGGAGCATAATTTGATAATCTCTATTAAATAATTAAATAAATACTATTTTCTGTAGAAATTTGAGGATTGTAGATACAGTTTGAAATGTAAAATACAATAAGCTTACAGATCATTGAACTTTCTGGTTTGTCTAATAGCTTATTCTATTCCAGTTCCTAATTCTTGCTTTTTTCTGTTCAGTGTCATTACCATTACATTACACACTGTCTTTTGCAGGCATCACTCTGTCCTTTTATCTTAACTGGATATATATGCCTCCTCCTTACACTGCTCTTCTTTCCAAAATCATGATTGAAAAGATTTTTTATAGCTGTTTTAAATGGGTATGAAACTATATGCTTTGTGCCCTGTGGCCTATAAGGTGTCTGTGACTAGTTTTGGAGGATTACTGTGTGATCTAAGTGAACTTCAGAAAATGCATTCTGTTCTGGGGCTGGTATGAATTTTGGGGATGCTATATTCTCTGGCTGCCCTGTTCTTCAGTCATTCCAATCACTTAGTGACCCATACAGGTTGTGTCCCAGCTGGGTCAGCAGTCACATGTGCATATCAAGTAATAGAATTCCCTGTGAATTTAGTTTTATATCTTATTTTTCTTTCTTTTTTTCTTTCCTTCCTTCCTTCCTTCCTGCCTGCCTGCCTGCCTGCCGTAAAAGAATCAGCAGCAGCAGCAGAACCAGCATCAGCAACCCACAGCCCCTCCACAGCAGGCAGCAGCCCCTCCACAGGCACCCCCACCACAACAGAACAACACTCAGACCAATGGGACAACAGGAGGGACTGCGGCTGGTGTCGGGGGTGCTGGAGCAGGGTTGCAGCACAGCCAGGACTCCGGCTTGAATCAGGTGCCTCCAAACAAGAAGCCGCGTCTGGGGGCTTCCGGCACAAACTCAGGGGGACCAGTTATGCCGTCAGATTATCAGGTACTCCACTGAATTTTTACTTTTTTCTTTTTAAATATTTTTATTAGTTGTTGACAAAATTTTTTTATCTCATTTATTTATTTGTATGTGGTGCTGAGTATCGAGGCCCAGTGCCTCACATATGCTAGGCAAGTACTCTACCACTGAGCCATAATCCCAGTCCCTGAATTTTTCCTTTTTAATTAGTATGTGTATATTTCATGATTTATAAAATGGAAACTAGGCTTTTAAGAGATCCTTTTAGGTTAATTCTTAATTCTTAATATTTGATATACAAACTCTGTAATTCTGTTTCTAGGGAATTATATCAAAATGAAGATTTTTATCATATTTCATGTAATTATGAGATATTCATATCTTGACTTGCTTGTCCTAACACCTGGAAGAGAAAAAGTAGAGTAGGCGGCTTCCTCCTTAAAAAAAAAAAAAAAAAAAAGTATTTCTACTCATATAATTGCTTAACAGCTTTGGGTCTGAAGAAAATACCTAGATAAGCAATTGGAAAGGGAGGGAAGTAGTGGCTTACTTTGGATGAAATTAATTACATTCTTAGAAAGATTTGCTCTTACAGGGAGAAAATAGTAGCCACTTGGCTGTAGAAGAGAAAAGAATGAAGACTGGGACTTTCCAGAAATAGCTGTTAAAGTCTCACGAGAAATAATTTTGAGACTAGACAATACTTTTTATTATTAAGATAAAAGGAAAACTATAATTGTACCACTAATTTAGGAAATTAAAGGAAAAATGTCTAAGGATTGATACTTGGAGAGAGGTAAAATACCTACTATGATACGGTAGAGAATGTTGCAAAAATATTTTTTTCAAGGTGGCAAAAAGCTAAGAAAAGACCTAAGTAGAAGGGAAAACTTAAATGAAAGAAGGATGGAAAAATTTTTAGAACCATCCTCAGGGAATCGCAGAAGAGGATCACTTGGAATAGAGATAATAGAAAACAAAACCTCTGGCAAGGGAGCAATAAACTCACTGATAAGGAACTGGAATAAAGAGAAGCATCAAGAAAGACATAATAAATAGCAGCTTAAACTGGCTTTACAAAGATTTCCTGTTAACAGAGGAGTATAGAATATTTCCCTTTGGTTCCAATTAAACCAGTCAAATCTTCATATTTTTTGTGTTCTAGTTGTAGTTGGACACAGTACCTTTACTTTATTTATTTTTATGTGGTGCTGAGGATCAAACCGAGCACCTTGCATGTGCTAGGTAAGCGCTCTACCGCTGAGCCACAACCCCAGCCCTCAAAGCTTCATTTTGATTCACTAAAAACATCTTGGTATTTGGTTAGTAATCATGAACGTATGTGAATTTTGTTATAAATTCCACTTTTCCCTAAACCTCAGTTTATCCCTATTATATGAGCCACAAATGTTGACTGTATACTCTTAGCTTTATGCCTCAGATTGTGTTACAGGAAATAGCTTTATGCCTCAGATTGTGTTACAGGAAATAGTTTATGTAAACATTTGTTAAACATGGCATGTTAGTTAGCTTTTTGTTGCGACGACAAAATACCTGAGAAAATCAACTTAGAGGAGGAACAATTTATTTTGGCTCATGGTTTCACAAGTTTCAGTTCATAGTCTCTTGGGCCCATTGCTATGGATTTGTGGTGAAGCACAATATCATGCATGGCAGGGAGCACCTGGCAGAACAGAGCTGTTCATCTCGTGGTGGCCAGGAATGAGAGAGAGAGGGAAAGTGACCTGGAACTAGATATATGCTTCAAGGCGACACCCACAGTGACTGACTTCTCTAAGGAGGCCCCACTTCCTACAGTTTCTACCACCTCCCTATAGTCCATTCAATTACAACCCTGTCGGGATCGATCCCTTGATGAGATTAGTGTCCTCGTGACACAATCACTTACCAAAAGCCTCACCTCTGCACATTGCTCTACGGTGGACCAATACTTCAACACTGATTCTTTGGGGGGAACATTGTAGATTTGAATCATAATGGATGGTAAAGCAGACTTTATTCAAGGAGGACTACCTGAATAGATATAGGGACCACTGCAACAGAGTCTTGAAGTGGGAAGAGAGATGGGATAAACTCCAACACTAACAATGACAAGCAGAGTTTCATTACCAAGGCACAGGGTGGGGTTAGAGATGGAAAATTATCAAGAGGAAACATCAGGGATAAAAGATTTCTGACTTGGTAGTATTATTGCTGAAGGCAGGCCAGAGAGACCCGTTATTGAGGGTGGGTTGTTTTTTTTTTAATTAAATTTATTTATTTATTCTAATTAGGTATATATGCTATCAGAATGCATTTTGATTCATTGAACACAAATAAAGTGCAATTTTTCATTTCTCTGGTTATACATGATGTAGAACTGTACCATGTGTGCAGTCATACATGTGTGTACCTAGGGTAGTGATATCCATTGCATTTTACCTTCTTTCCTTCCCCCATGCCCCACCCCACCACCCTCCTTTGCCCAATCAAAGTTCCTCCATTCTTCCCATCTCCCTCCCCAGCTACTTTTCAGAGAAAACATTGGGCTTTGGTTTTCTGGAATTGGCTTACTTCATTTAGTATGATATTCTCCAACTCCATCCATTTACCTGCAAATGCCATAATTTTATTCTCTTTTAATGCTGAATAATTTTGTGTATGTGTGTGTGTGTGTGTGTATCTCACAGTTTCCTTATCCATTTATCTGTTGAAGGACATTTAGGTTGGTTCCACAGTTTAGCTATTCTGAGTTGAGCTGCTATGAACATTGATGTGGCTGTGTTACTATAGTATGCTGTTTTTAAGTCCTTTGGGTATAGACCTAGGAGTAGCTGGGTCAAATGGTGGTTCCATTCCCAGTTTTCTAAGGAATCTCCATACTGCTTTCCATATTGGTTGCACCAGTTTGCAGTCCCACCAGCAATGTATGAGTGTGCTTTTTTCTGGTGGGGGATTTTTTTAACACACCTTAACAGAATTCTTGCTTATAGGATTCAGTAAGAACAAAGAGGGAGGCGCACAGTTGGGCCTAGTCAAGCAGAGGACTCAGAGGACCCTAACTGAAGTTTTGGTCGAGAGTAACAGGGACTCCTTTAAAATCAAAAAATTAAAGAAGCATCTAGACATTGTCCTTTTAACCTGTAATAGTTTACTTCCTTCCCAGCTCCATCTTGTGCTGAAAACAAAAACTGTCCCAGGATGGGTACCAGTGTACCACCACTCTGGTTGTATAACCTGCATACCCCTTGGCTATCTGCTTTTGTCTTTCTCCTCTATAATCCTAAACTGTTGCCCATAGGGGGAGACAGATTTCTAGACCGGCTATCTTCCCAGTTTGGGCCAAATTACAAATAAATTTATTTCATGCTTCACCATTATTTTTCTGTTTGTTAATTAGACACTGAGTGCTATGGGCAACTTAATCTAGTCTGTTGGGATCCCCAAAATTAACTCTCTGGCTCGAGTGGTCCTGACCCCACCATAACAAAAGGACAGACTCTTTATCACCTGGTGATAGATAATTATAAGCCAATTACTTGATTTCCTCCTGTTCTTTTCAAGTTCAAAAATTCTTCAAAATGCTTTTCTTTATTGTTCTCCACCTATAAGTAAACCTTACTTATAGGTAAGTAATGATAGAATGACAAAATGGATAGATATCTCAGTGATTTAGTTGGAGGGAGTAGAACCATTTACAAGTCTTACATAATCAGTATGTTTGTTCTCTATGTACTACAGAAGAGATATTGCGCCAAGTGCAATCTGCTAACCCCAAAGTAATCATAGCTAGCCTAACAATCATAGGGCATTAGTTTTATCATTTTCTTCTCCTTTCCTTACATTTTCTGGTTCTAGGGCTTCTCAGAATATTTTTATATTTATATTTTAGTTTCTTCATGAATAAACCATTTTTCATAATCTCTAAGATAGGCTAATGTGATATTGTTTTTTGTGTTTGATCCTCCCTGTTACTTTATCTCAATTTATTCAAGGCCATATTTAACTTTTCTATTAGGGAGAACTTTTGCCTTCCTCTTCAGTAGGTTCCATTAGTAGAGTTTCAAAGCTTTGGGGCTGCTTCCAGTGTAAGCAAATCTGATTCATACTTTGAAAAAGAGGGAAATTGGCTTTTTCTCTGTCTAAAAAGGAAATCTTATCTTTAAAAAAGTTATGTTTTAGCACATTACAGTCTTATATGTTTACATTATGTTTTACCAGAAGAATTGCCTCTGATGAATTATGAGTAGAAAGAACTTTCCTTTTCATTAAAAAACTTGAAAAAAATAAAACATAATCAGAATTTTGAAAGGTATCTTTCAAACATACAACTTGTTAGCTCTGTAATTTTGGAAAAGGTAAAGCCAAGTTGTTTTTGACCAAGATTGTCTTATTGCCCTATTGTCTTGGGCAGATATTACAAGTGCAGTTTGGTAGCCTTTGCATACTGAGGGGGAGGACCTTGCTGATTTCTCCTTTCTTTTTTGTTGGTTCAGTTTTAGTGCTGGGGATTGAACCTAGGGCCTGGTGCATGCCATGCGCACACATGCTCTACAATTGAACTATACCCCCAACCTGTCCCTTTTTAAATTTCCCCTGTTACCTCTTGGTCATTTACATTTTTAACTCCAAAAAATAGTTTTATTGCATGTATTCTTTCTCATTTTGCTCATAGGTAAGCCTAACCTTCAGAATGTAGGCTAAGACACTATATTTAGAAGGTTAATTTCCAGCTATGCTTATGTTTAATCAGGTACCACGTTCTTTTATTTATTTATTTATTTATTTATTTATTTATTTTTGTAGTTGTAGATGGACAGCATGCTTTTATTTTATTTTTATGTGGGGCTAAGATGAAACCCAGTGCCTCACACATGGCGGACAAGTGCTCTGCCACTGAGCTACGGCCCCAGCTCACGATGTTCTTATTCTATAGATGAATTTTTCTTTTATACATTTTCTTCATATTTTCTATAAAAACTATGAAGATGTTTTATTTAAAGTAATAAACATATATTGAATAATGAAGTCATAAAAATACAAGCAGTGGCTCACAACTTGTATCCCAGCACTCAGGATGCTGAGGGGGAAGTTCACTTGAGCCTGGGAGTTCAAGACTAACCTGGGCAATATGGTCAGACCCCTTGTCTTAGAAGACAAAGAAATACATTTGTCTCTGTCTTCTCTTAGAGGCAACCATGTATTAAAATTTTGTATTTGCTTATTGGACAGGAAGCAGGATTTATTGGTGGGCAGATTTTGTTCTAAATATTATCTGAAGTTTATAAAACCCACTTATTGCTACCCAACCTTGCCTTCCTTTGTCTTGTGGGTTGGACTAGCTTCTACTTCGGAAAACTATTTTCTCCAAAATAGTAATTTCTTAGTCTCAGCTTTGTTCTTTATAATGAGAAAATTAATAGCGTGTTAGTATACATTACAAATGTCATTGATTTCCATATGCCAAATTGGTAATTCTTATTTGTAAAGCTCAGTTATGTAAAAGGTTAAATTGTACCTAGTATTTGTATGAAGAACAGTGGGTCAGCATTTCTCCTCTCCCTTTCTTTGCCTCCCAAAGAATCCAGCCAAATGTCATACCTGTCAGAATGTGTGGTTATAGTGTGTGATTTCAGAGAAGTAAATGTATTACCAAACTACGTTAACTGTCAGCTACTGTAGATCTAAACCAGGAGCTTATTGATGAAAATGGTTTATATCTCCATTCTACTGTAATTGACATCTTGAACCATACTTCTCTTCTTTTTTTTTTTTAAATTTATTTTGTTCTAGTTGTAGATAGACATAGTACCTTTATTTACTTTTATGTAGTGCTGAGGATCGAACCCAGTGCCTCATATATGCTAGACAAGCACTCTGCCACTGAGCTACAACCCCAGCCTCGAGCCATAAATCTTCTTATATTTATCAGTAATCTCCTTTTCCTATTTCCTTCTAGCACTCCAGTTCTCGCCTGAATTACCAAAGCAGCGTTCAGGGATCTTCTCAGTCCCAGAGCACTCTAGGCTACTCCTCCTCGTCTCAACAGAGTGCACAGTACCACCCATCTCACCAGGCCCACCGGTACTGATCAGCAGCCCTTGACTTGGCCCAGGCCAGCACAAAGCAAGACTCCAGCAATATGATGTCTGCATTGCAAAGAACCCCCAAAACACAAACTATGATGCCATTTAAAACTCATGTTTGGGAGGAAAACTTTATATACTGAGTATTTTTCAGGACTGATATCTCTTCTTTATTGACTTATGGAAGATTCTTGTGAAGTTTCCCCAATACCTTCCCTGCATGTGTTCCATTGTGACTTCTCTGATAAAGCGTCTAATCTAATTCCAGCACTTCTGTAACCTTCAGCATTTTTTGAAGGATTTTCTGGTGCACCTTTCTCATGCTGTAGCAATCACTATGATTTATCTTTTCAAAGCTCTTTTAATAGGATTTTAATGTTTTAGAAACAGAATTCCAGTGGTGTATAGTTTTTTACTTCATGAACTGATTTAGCAACACAGGTAACAATGCACCTTTTAGAGCACTACACAGTTTTCACAGACTTTAACTGTTTTGCTCATGGAAGTCTTAAACAAAACTGTTACTGTCCCAAAGTATTTTACTATTATGTTTTTATTTATCTAGTTTCAGGGAAGGCCTAGTAAAAAACAAGTGGTGGGACAGAGGGAACTTACAACCAAAAACAGCCTAGATCTTTGCAGTTACTATGCTTTATGCTCTGAAGAACTGAAGTGTGTGGTGATTTTTATATAATCATTCATATGGAACTTAGTTCCTAGAACCATCATATTCTGAATAGTATTCGGTAATTAAGAATTATGATTTTAACCTTCATGTAGCTAAGTCTACCTTAAAAAGGGTTTCAAGAGCTTTGATGAAATACAGTCCTCTGGTGATCCACACCAGAAAGCTGAAGAGAATATTAACTGCACTAGGATTTCTTTAAGGAGTAATGTTGATCAAAGAATGGGTTACTTCCCCTTGAAGGAAAAGCTTTGTATGTATTGTATGTAAAGTTGGCTTCTCTAAAGGAACTGTTCCTTTCCTTTGTTTCTTCACATCTGGGTAGGTGTGAATAACTTTCTTACTTAATCAAGGGTATTCAAATTGAAGCCTGCAGATTCATCTGCTTTTAAAGTAAAGAGCAGTGTCCTCCATTTGTATTTGCATTAGACATAGAGTGACTATTTTTAAAGCATGTTAAAAATGTAGGTTTTATTCATGTTTAAAGTGGGTATTATGTATGCATAATTTCGCTTTTGTTACTGAAACTTAATTCTATCAAAAATCTTTTCATTGCACTGAATACTTTCTTTTGCCCCTAGCAGAAAACTAAATAATTGTGCCTAAAAACTATGGGCAGATAGTATAAGACTATACAATATAAGGTGAATATTTGCATTTCCATTATCTATGAATTAGAGGCTAAGTTCTTTCTTAGCCAGTTTAAGGAGCCCCTCATTCTCCAGAGTCAAAAGGAAATGTAAAGACAGAGTTCCCATTGTAATGTAAGGGGCAAAAAAAAAAAAAATGTTCTGAATGCAACTAGCAGCACCAGCCTTGTTTTAGATGTTTTCTTGAGCTAGAAGAAATAGCTGATTTGTCATATATGCAAATTATATGCATTTTTAAAACTATTCTTTGTGAACTTATCTACCTGGTTATGATACTCTGGGTCCATATACAAGTGAAATTTAGACAGAAGCCAGTATACATTTTGCACTATTGATGTGATACTGTAGCCAGCCAGGACCTTACTGATCTCAGCATAATAATGCTATTAATAATAATACTGTATAGTGACATTCATCAAGATTGTAGATGAAACAGTTGACATGCTCCATTTGAAGAAATTTCTGATCATTTCCATGGTATTTTATCACTTCCATTTTTTTAAAATAAGAAATGAACATCTTCCTGCATGAAGTTGCTACCTGTGTAAAGTTCTTTTCTATGCCCTGAAGCCTCACTGTCCAGAGCTACTGGTCCTCAGATGCTCACTGTACCCTACAAGGTGTCCAGTGCTCTGCTAGGTGGAAAACACAACAGGACACACTTCCTGTTACTTATGGTCAATTCAGTAACAGTAAGCTCTCTTGGGATGTTTTTGTCATGTAATTGACTTGAAAATGAACTGTCTTATAATATGAAGGCTCTTTGGTTTACTCTAAACTCACTTGGATAGGTATTATTCCAAATTCCATAGTAAATGGTGTTAGGGAAGGATTTCTTGGTCCAGCTTAGGAAAAAGCCAGTGATTTAATATCAGAAAAGACATTACTGTATATTTGCAATGTTCACAGTAGCCTTCAACAAGTGGATGACTCTTATAGGCAGAACACACTCTACTAAGTAGTTGTAGGAAATTACAGTGAAAATAGAAGATCTGTTCCTGCCCTCAAGGGGAGCTTACATTTAATAAAAAGAGATAACCCCAGATATGTACATAAATCAAAATACCATGCCCCTTAATATTTAATTAGCAACGTTGACATGTAATTCTTATGGTTTGGTTTATACATTCACTGGGCCGCTTGCTTTCCTTATACATAAATGAATTTTGCTGGTAGAACTGACATCAGCTATATGGGGATTTTATCAGTTGCTCCCAGTACAGTGTTCTCCAGGACATAGCCTGAGATTTCCTTTATATATATGACTGGGCTTCTTATCACTTCACTGGTTCTGGCCCTTTTGTCCTCTCTTCTTGCCTCAGGGTCAGTGATGCCCACTCGTGTCCATTACCCTTCGGAATAATTTTGGTTCATATTTTCCTTTCTTTATAAAGGGGAAAAAGCCTTGCATACACATAAGGGCCCTGGACTATGGGATCTCTAAGGAGACCTGTGAAGCTCTTTGGGGGCAAAATTTAAACTTTTTGGTCCCCAAATGACTGCATTCCTCTTTGAGTTTGTTAGATACTGTTTAATGCCTATTGAGGATGCAGTGGGGACAGACATCCCTCAGCCTATAGGAACACCAAAACCAGGGGAGATAATTGAAAGAATGAATTGAAGATTTTCTGCTCTTGATATTATAGGTCAGTTTTAGAGTTAGCTTTCTAATGAGATGTATGTTTGGGAAAAGGGATTCAAAAGTTCAGGACAGACGAGCTCACAATAAAGTAGCTTGGCGGCAGGGCTGATACTGTGAGGCTGAAACAATCCTTGTGATGAAGTAGATCATGCAGTGAGATGCAAAAACCAAGGACTTGTATATTTTTATATCTGTGTGGTTTTGAAACTTTAGTACTTAGAATTTTGGCCATCTGAACTATGTTTTCTCTTATAAACATAATTTACTCTTAAGAATGGAAAGAGACAACATTTACGTATGTGTTCACTGCCTCATTCCTGGTGGAGCAACTGCTAGTTGTTCTCTGTGCCTCTAAAATGATGCTGTTTTCTCTACCAAAGGCAAAAGAAGAGAAAAATTAGTTGGAGAATAAGACTTTTGCAGCTTGATGTACTTTTGAGTAAATATATGTAGCAGAAACTGTTCAATGAAGGAAGAATTCTATGAAAGTTGCAAATCTTAAACTCTGGTAATATCTTCTTAGGAGGTGGAGAAAGACAGTGAAATCACCATCAGACAGAGAGGCTTGAAGGAGTCAAGTACAAGTAACGTATTATACAAAACATAGCAGCTTAGGTCCCCATACTCTTCAAGAATTGTCACAAATATCATAAAGCAAAGGTCATTGTTCTAGGGTTTTTTAAAAAAAATGTATTCCTAAGGCCATACTTACTCTTCTATGCTATCACTGCAAGGGAGTGATATGTATTATATGAAAAAAAAAAACCTTAATGCACTGTTATCTCCTAAATATTTAGTAAATTAATACTATTTAATTTTTTTAAAGATTTGTCTGTGTAGACACTAAAAGTATTACACAAAATCTGGACTGAAGATGTCCTTTTTAACAACAATGGAAAGTACTTTTTATATATGTTATGTAGTATATCCTTTCTAAACTGCCTAGTTTGTATTTCCAATAATTCTTGTTTGTGAAGTGCACCTGTCCATGTCTCTTTTTTCAGTCATTTTCTGCACGCATCCCTCTTTGTATGATTATAGAGACAACTGTAGCTCTCCATCCCCCGCTGCAATTTTGTGTGCTCTGCGCTGGCCACGCCTTAGCAAGGCCCGCTCCCTCCATAGGTACAGGATAAGCTGCCACTTTGGAGTCGAGTGTTTCCCACTTTTAAGTTGTCCTGACATTCTTCTTGAAATGACTGTTAAAACTTAATTAAATTACGTTGCATTTATTTTATATTCTTGGTTGAAATAAAATTTAATTGACTTTGTTTCTGTGTGGATCTTTTAAGTGCACAACAACTACTCTTGTGCTAAGTTTTAAATGTTAAAATGTCATCTGCATGCCTGGAAGCTTTTATGGTTACACTTGTCCTGCCTCCCTGTGAATTAAAATGTTATTCTGTTCAGGATGATTATGATATCACAAAACCACAGAAGCAAGCAAGACTTACAAATAGCTCACAAGTGAAATTATGGTTCTCTAAATGCCTCTAAGAGAAACATCTTTTTTTATTATTATTTTTAATGAAAATTACCATGATGTCTTAGAAAAAACAAGCATCATTTTGTAGATGGGGTTGGTTTGGGAGATTCTCCTCTTATAATAGCATTCTGTTGAACCTGACTGTTCTTTCTGTAATTTACCCAATGAATCTTCTTTGGTTACTGCAATAGTCAAAGGTATCATAATATCATTATATCAAATATAATTGAAGAATATTTAAGTGACAGTGAAACCCTGGAAGAAAATAAAAATTTTTTGAAAAGGGGCTGCAGATTAACTCATTGGAGAACATTTGCTTAGTTTGCTTGAGGCCCTACCTAGTTCAATCCCTAGCACTGGGGGGTGGGGAGGGAGAAAAAAATGACAAAAACTGTTTAAATGACATAATACAAAACTTCTATTTAAAATGGACACTGCACATGTCCAGCTTGGCTATTTCATTGTTGGCGTGGTCTGTGGACTTCAATTCTGTGCTATTTGTAGAATAGATCTTATCTTGGAAAACTGTTCTTTGACCTTCCTTGACTTTCTAACCAGCCATGTAGGTAAGAAAAAGTAGATGACTGGACAGACTATAAATTCTCTGGGGGATAGGGCCTAGGCTTTATTCCCTTCTGTACTCTCAGCAGCTGACATGGTGCTCACTACAGAGCAGAAGCTGAATATGGCAAGTCAAGCATTGTTTTTGTATCCTTGCACAGAATTCCTGGATCATAATATGTCATGTTTGTAAATGGATAGGCATTAACACAGTTTTCTATGAATAATGAAAATACTAGAAATAGACATCACTTTATTAAGATAGATTCATTTCTTTTCCTTTTTTTTTAAAGAGAGAGAGAGAATTTTAATATTTATTTTTTAGTTATCGGCAAACACAACATCTTTGTTTGTATGTGGTGCTGAGGATCGAACCCGGGCCGCACGCATGCCAGGCGAGCGCGCTACCGCTTGAGCCACATTCCCAGCCCCAATAGATTCATTTCTTATATTTTTTATTACAAAGTTATGGGAAAACATCACCCCAAAGGGATAAATAACATTCAAATTATGTTTAAGTAAAAAAGCTCGGGCTGGGGATGTGGCTCAAGCGGTAGCGCGCTCGCGGAGCATGCGTGCGGGCCGGCCCGGGTTCGATCCTCAGCACCACATACAAACAAAGATGTTGTGTCTGCCGAGAACTGAAAAATAAATATTGTCTAAATAAATCTCTCGCTCTCTCTTTCTCTCTCTCTCTCTCTTAAAAAAAAAAAAAAAAAAAAAAAAAAAAGCTCTCATACTTGCCAGTATTCTTTGGAAGTCATCTCTCTTTGCTGCCTGAGGGTAAACATTTTAAAGGCTGGCATGGTGTCATTTTGTGTAATAGGCAATAGGAAGCTGGCTTGGACAAATAACATAAACTTAAGAAAATTCACTCATTTTATTTAAATGAAAATATAATTCAGGAAAAAAAAATGAAAATACTGACTGAAAACATCAAAGTGAAGCTCCTTAGCACATTGCTTGTTTGCTGCTTAAACTTGTTTCAAAAAGTGCAGCTAAGTTTTGTTTATGGACTAAACGTGATCCCTTCAAATTCATATGTGAAACTCTAGCCCCCAATGTGATGTTTGGAGACAGGGCCTTTACAAAGTAATTAAAGTTAAATGAGGTTATAAAGGGAGGGCCTAGGTACAATAGGATTAGTGCCCTATAGAAGAGATGTAGGAGAGCTCACATTCTCTTTCTTCTCCAGGTTAAAAAGCAGGCATTTGCAAGAACTAGAAAGAGAGCCTTCACCAGAAACACATCCTTTCAGGCTTTATTGTTGGAATTTCCAGCTTCTGGAACTGGAACTCATCATACTTATTTGATCTGTGACTTGCCTCCTCCTTCTATAGAGTTTTTATAGATCATTTGTTTCTGAACTAATAAGACAGTTCTTTCTTTCAATTTCCTGTCTTTCCAACATAATTTTTGTTTCATTTTTGCAGATTTTCCCCTCTTTTTTAAAGATAGGATCTTACTATATTTCCCAAGTTGGCCTTGAACTCCTGTGTTCAAGCAGTCCTCCTGCCTCAGCCTCCTGAGTAGCTGGGGCTATAGGTGCAAGCCACTATGCTTAAGATCAGTCTGTATAACTTTTTCCTTTCTTTCTTGCCTAAATGCATGGTCTAGCATGTCTAATATAATGTCAAGTAGAACGGTGTGGGTGAACATCCTGCAATGTTCTTACTCCTCAAGGGAGAGTATTCCATATTTCATCATTAGGTATGGTGTTAAAGGTCTCTGAGATGTCCTTTATCAAATTGAGGAAGTTTCCTTCTATTCTTTTTTTGATAAGAGTTTTAATTATGAACAGGTTTGAATTTTGTTAAATGTCTTTTGTGCATATAGGATGACCGTGAGTCTTCTCCTTTTTGTTGTTAAAGTGATGAATTACATTGGTTTTTTAATGCTAAAACAACCTTGCATTCCTGATATAAACATGGAGGAGAAAGCAGTGGTAAAATAGGCAGAGATTGGAGAGATATGGCCACAAACCAAGAAATGCCAGCAGCTACCAGAACTTGGAGGAGGCAAGGAATGGATTCTCCTGCCGAAGAAATGTCCTGTTTACACCTTGATTCAGACTTCTGGCCTCCAGAACTGTAAGAGAATAAATTTCTGTTGTTTCATGCCACCAAATTTGAAGTGATTTGTTATAACAATCATAGGAAACTAATGCAGTTTTGGTCATGATATCATTTTTCTAATATGTTTGATTATTTGATATTTTGTTAAATAATTCTAACTATGCTCATGAAGGATATTGACCTATAATTTTCTTGTAATGTCCTTGTCGGGCTTGATATCAGGGCATGGAAGACCATAAAATAATGTGGGAAGTTACTCTGTTATCTGAGCTTGTACAAAATTTATGCTATTTTTTTCTCTAAGTAGTATATACCAACACATTTGGTAGAATTCTCTTTATGAAAAGTATTTTAATTATAAATTTGATACCTTTAAAGGATATAGAGATATGCAGATTTTCCAATTGTTCTGAGTCAGTTTTAAGTTGTATTTTTCAATGAATTTATTTAATCTAAGCCATAATGCAAGTATTTCTCATAAGATGTATACTCAGACATGCCAACTAGTGAATAAACATTTTAAATTATAACACTTATTGAGCTAACATTTATGGAGTAGTTTCTCTGTGCACTTTGCCAGGATAATTTATTTCATTCTCGCAACAACTATCTGAGGTGGTCACTATTATTGTCCCTATTTTTTTACAAATGAAGAAATGTGACTGAGAGAGGTTAAAAACTTAAGTAAGTCATGTACCTGACAACTCTCAGAGACAAGTTCCCAACCCCTTAAGCCAATGGTTCTCAATGTGGTCCCTGGATCAGTAACATCAGTATCACATGGGTTGTTAAAAATGCCAGTACCCAGGTCCAACCCCTCAGTTCTGAATTAGAAATTCTGAGGATAGGACCTGACAATTTGTGTTTTAAGGAGCTTCCAGGCTCCTTAAAGTTTGAGAACCATTGTCTTATGTCCTTCTCACACATACTACCAAATTACCTTCCAAAAAGGCTACGTTGGTTTACACTGGTTTACACTCCCATTTACAGGGTATAAGTGTCCATATTCAATGGCCTTACCAAGGTATGCACCATTCTAATAGGCAAAAAGTAGTGTCTTGGCCCTTTAAAACACCATTTCAGACCTCTTTCCAGTAAGGGAGTCACTGGACTCCGTTACTGTCCCTTCTGCTCCTGCTTGGGTCTCTTCTGTGTGTGCGCTATCTTGTTCTGTTGATCTTCCCTTTTTAGAGGTTCTCAATTCTAACACATCCAGTCTTAACAGGCAACCAGGGTGCTTGAGCACTAAATTTATCTCGTGTTTGAAGATAGAAGTAAGAAGCAAATAGGTGGCAATTCAACTTTTGTTAATAAAAATTCTGTTCTAAAATGTCCATTTTCTTGTTGGACCTCTTCTTGTGAAGCTGCCCAGCATTATTCAGCTCTTCTATTATCCCCTAACATTTAGGTTTCTACCTTTTTTAAATTATTTTTTTTAGTTGTAGATGGACTCAATGCCATGATTTATTTTTATGTGGTGCTGAGGATTGAACCCAGTGCCTCACATGTGCTAGGCAAGGGCTGTGCCACTGAGCCAAAACCCCAGCCCCTAAGTTTCTATCTTAACACCTGTGTAGGTAGTAGCCGAGTGTCCTGCATGGGAGTGGAGGGTGTCTGGAAGTTCTGCAGCGGTGCTGACAGGTGATCCTGCTAAGGCGCTCAAGAGCCCAGTGTGGTCTAGAACCTCGGGAGTTGGGTGTCAGGAGCTGGGAGTCCTGCTCCAACGCTGAGGCCTGGAGCCCTGTGCAGGGCATAGCACCAGTGATTTCCACGCAAGGGCAGCTGTATAGGGGTCCTCTATCACTCTCAGACAGGCAGTATTCCCACTAGTTGAGATCTAGGTCACCAAGTGACACAGAATGCTGCCTCCCTCTGGCCCACCACCTTGGATCTTCCAAAACAAATATTTTTAAAACTTGCAATTTGGTCAGGAAGTTCAAGTAAAACTGGAACTAAGAAAGTTGTGGCTGTTTAAAGTATTACAGTCACTAAAGAGATGTTAAGTACTTTGCACAGAGACGATAGGAAAGATAGATGGCTTGAGGGTATCTCAGGAATTGACAAGACCACACCCATCTCAGGTACAAATATAAAAATTCCTTTAAGAAACCACAGAGTCACCCTGCTTGCACAGGGGGGCCTAGGAAGT